ACAGCAATCCAGGCTAAAGACAGGTAAAGGCCTGTAATCTGGCTGTAATGACTCACTCCGAGGCCTGAACAAAACAAACCGCCTCACTGAACCACTCTCAGCCCATAGACTAAATATAAAGATCAGCAGCCATTCACCTTAAAGACATGAGAGCAGATGACTTCTGAAGGACGTCTCAGACTACTACAACACCACGTCCTACTACTGTATTTTTGTTTATTACTCAATGTTTCTAAGTCTTTCTCACATGCAAATGATTTCAAACTGCCCACTGAAAAGCTATATAGCGCTTTGTGTTTGTCTCTATTATATGATGGATTGCAGACTGAGAATCGCGTCACATGATGCCGGAAGCATGCAGTGGGGTGAAGATCATGCACGGATGGGAACCGTCTTCATCTGTCCACCGTCTGAACCCGTGACCCTCAGCCATCGGCGTATAAGAGATCCACGGTTCCCACTCAACAGCTGTGCTTAAATCAGCTCCATATGTGGAACAGCAATGGCTCAAATGTTTGTCGAGTCTTTCATGAGACTTTCAGAAGTAAAATTATGCATGGCCAAATTTAGTGACACTTTAAATGCAATACATGATTACAAAAAAATATATATATTTCTTTAAAGAGTTAGTCATTTAAAGTTATTTTTTTTTTAAAGTACAATTTTAAATTTTAATGTGCATTATTAGTTGTGAGAATAAGTGCTCAAGGAAAACTCAAAACACCATTAAAAAGAAATAAATAATAAAAGATTTAAAACAAAATGCATAAATAGGTTTTGTACAAAAGTCCCAGTTATAAGAGTAAAATCACAACATTATGAGATTTAAGTAATACAATTTTGAGAATAAAATAAAAATAAGTTGTAATATTATGAGAATAACATTAAAAGTCATAAGAGAGTTGTAAGTCGTAAAACCATAAAAAAATAATTTGTCATAAACTTTTCTAATTTTAATTTAGGTTAATTTGATGTACTAAAATAAAAAATAAAATAATCAAACTGAAAAATATAATATAAAATGAGTTTAAAAAATAAATAGAGTTTAAATGACAAAAATACAAAACTACTAAAAGTGTAACTAAAATTAAAATGAAAAATACAAAAATAAAAATAAATTCAAAGTATTAATAAAAATGACAATAACACCAAATGTGACACCAAATCTAGTCACTTATTTAATAAAATATTTTTTCCTTTTTGATCTAATTTTATAATGTACCAATAAAACATACAATATACCAATTTAAGAGCGTATTTGTATAAATATAGGTTCTGGATGTCTGGAAATGTCAGTCATCTGGATTTTTTTATCAGGTTTATTGTGAAAATCTCAGTCTGAACACTAGATATGATTCGTGTCCGTAACACACATGTTTTGCGGGCATGAGAAAGATAAGTGTGAGCAACAATAACAGCAATGCTTGTTTAAGCAAGCAGCGCTAATAAAGAAAGACAGGAGTGTGTAAAGATCAGGCAGGTCATCTCGCCGCGGGTTCACAGAGCCTGCGGCTGGAATCTCCTCAGACGAGCTACAAGCCTCTGCAAGCCTCGCAGATGAGAGCCAGAGCAGCACTGACACCTCAGCAGCTTCAGTCACTCCCTCTGCATAAACAAACACCACCCATCAGCTTCTGCTGATAAATCAGAGCAGTTTGCTTTGACTGAGCATTACTGCAGAAGAACATCTGTGTTGTAAATGGATAATACTATAGCATTATCACCACTCCATAAGAGAGTCATTTCCAGAGGATTCTGATCAAACCAGACTCGTTTCACTCTTACAGATGATCTCATTCTGTGCTTTAAAGGAGTAATTCAACCAACAATGAAAATTAGCTGGAAATGTGTTCGCCCTCAGGTCATCCCAGATGAGTTTGTTTCTTCATCAGATTTGGAGAAATGTAGCATTGCGT